GAAGGCAGACGCTTAACGGCTGAGCCACCCAGGCGCCCCAAAACAAACTCTTTTACCAGTAAATCAGACCAATAGGCACAAATACTGATTGTAACAAATACTTTATTATTTCCAGCATCAATAATGCTTAAACTTTAAAAAGCAGGTGAATCTCACCTGTTTGTTGATGATGCCTTTTCCAACCTGTCAAACTTAAAATCCTTTTAAGCAGAAAAGCAGAGGACAGTAGTTTCAGAATAAAAACAAAACAGGGGCACTTATAAATAAGCTATCTTTCACAAAGTATTCATTCCTTGAGGAGAAATTCTTTGCTTGTAGATATGCTGAAATTAGGTGTGACCAGTTATAAACTCCAAGTCCTGGACATTATCTTGTTGGTGCCTGAAGCTAAATCAGAAACTACTTGTTTTTAGGAAATTCCCCTTAATTTCACTTTGAGGAAACAAATAGGGAGAATGTGCTATCATAATTATATACTGTAAGCTATCTGAAATTTCAACATTATATTGTTTTGATCTAAACTAACAATTCTAGGTATCTGAAGATTATTTGTTGGTTTTGACATTTCAAAATGCTTACATCGTTTGCTTCAGAAGGTCATCATGCTACTTTTCTAGAAGAGGCTGGTATTAGTAGAATGGAACCCCCAAAATCTAATTAGAGAATTTTATAAATGGACATTAAAGAATACCACTATATCATCAATAAACTATGCTTTCTAACACTACCATGTAACTTTAAAAGTACAGTTGACCCTTGAACACATGGCTCTGAACAGCACAGTTCCACTTATCCATGAATTTTTTTCAATAAGTATAGTAGAGTATTGTAAATGTATTTTCTCTTATGATTTTCTTAGTAACATTTTCTTTCTCTAGCTTACTTTACTGTAAGAATGCAGTATATAATACATATAACATGCAAAATATTTGTTAATTGACTATATTATTGGTAAGACTTCTGGTCAACAGTAGGCTATTAAGTAGTTACGTTTTAGGGGAGTCAACCGTTTCATGTGAATTCTTTTTTTAAGATTTTATTTATGGGGCGCCTGGGTGGCTCAGTCGTTAAGCGTCTGCCTTCGGCTCAGGTCATGATCCCAGAGTCCTGGGATCGAGCCCCGCATCGGGCTCCCTGCTCG